GCGCAAACTAAGATGTTAGTATATTGCTAGCCTTCTGGAGCAAAGCACTGTCTGTTCAGGGAAAATAAATCCCTAACAAAACATGAATATCACGATCCAAGCACAGCTTGCTAATGTTTGATAACAGCATTTTTCTACTTGAAACATGCCACAGGCAAAGGTATTTTTTTTTTCTTTTCAAACCATTAGCAGTACATAAAATTGATTTCAAAAGTTATACCATTAGCACAGTTTGACATTATATCGTTAGCAGACAACTGATCATTTACTAAGTCACTGTCCATAAGATGCAAATATAAGTTTAGAATTTAAGTTGCATGATGATCATTGGTCATGTCTTCTACTACATCATCACCGTCGCTCAAACACTACGCCAAGTTAACCAAATACATGGAGGTAGGAGTTCTTCAAAACCATTGGCATGCAGAAACCAATACGGGCAACAGAAAGTTCAGTACAAATTTGGATAACTAATCACCCAAGTTCACTCCATAGCGAACCACCACACTCGAAACATAAAAGCATGCATACATCAGTCAGATAAAACAATAGCCCAGTTCGAGCAAACATACCAACCAGGCTGTTCCATAGCACAAAGAACTAGTGTTTGTCGAAGATCCACTTCTTATAAAGCCACCAACTCAGACTGATGTCAAATGTGCAATGACCGTAACTCTGCATACAATGGCACATATGGCAGATATGGCGGCTGGCCATCTTCCAGGGTATATTTGATCATCAAATGCCCCCTTTGAAGAATATCGTGTTGCATTCCGGATGAATCGCAATCCAACCAAAATCCATCGCAGCCCATCCAAAACGACCAAGAAGGTAGGCATCCATCCCTCGAAATATGTATGAAGCTTCGATGCTGTGCTTCAATATCCATTTTCTGCTTTGATAGTTGTCCAGAACATAAACTACTAATCGAATGGCACCACCTCCATATCCCTGAAAATTGGCATAATGCAAGCGGTCTTGTGATCGCTGAATAAAACCATCATCCAAACCACCAGGGAGACTGAAGTTCATCCATGTTTCCCCCTCTGTGTCTACCATGGCTAGATGATGGGATAACCAACGGGCGCTGGGTTGAAAATGCAGGTGGCCATTAAGAAAGACAAATACTGACCGACGATCAATGGGCCTAATTTGCTTGTTCCATCTCTCTTGTTTATAAACCCATGCTCCAGTTTCAGACGAATACACTGCCACTCCGGCGATGTGAGGGTGCCAGTTTGGCTCCTGCTCATCTACCAACTCAAACACATGGAAATGCGACGACAGGGCTGGGTCGAAGCCCAAACGTGCGGTGGCCACCTCGCTGGTGGCCTTGCCGGAGCTCGGCAACACGACCCACTTCTCCGTGGCGGGATTGCACACGACATAACGGAACTCGTCACCCTGCGCGGAGGCGTCGCGCCAGCGGCAGAGGAGGAGGCCGCTGCAGCAGGCCAACAGATGGACGCGCTCATGGTTGGGCAGGAAGGAGCAAGAGGTGTCGATCGGAGGGCACCGTCTCCCTGGGAAACTGGTGAAGTGGGGAGGTGGTTGCAGAAACCACTCGCCGGTGTACTTGTTGTCGTAGAAGAAGCCGGCCGGGGTTTGGGGCAGCCTTTTGCGGTGGTCGGGGTGGTCGATGAGCGCCAGCCAGTGGCTGGAGACGCACCTGAAGCGGAGGAGCGACTTGGCGGGGACGCGCGAGAGGATCTCGACGAGGAGATCGTCGGCGAGTCTGTCGATCGCCGTCCCGCTCTGCTTCGTGTACCGGGCATGAGGAGTAGCGCGGCCTTCCTCCCCCGGGTGAGAGCTCTCTGCGGGGACGGACATGGAGGCGGCAGAAAACGGCGGCGACGCCGTCGAGATAGAGGGACGGAGAATGAAACCTAACGTCTGACGGGAGTGAGGCCGAGGCTTAACAGATTGGGCCGTCCAGCACCAGTACATGGGCTCAGCCGTGTCACGACTAACTGAATTGGAAGAACAGAGCCTGCAGATACAAACATAAGACATTTACAATTTGTTTTATTGCCTCATTTTTTAATTCTTGCTCAGTACTCCCTCCGTAAACTAATATAAGAGCGTTTAGATTACTAAGTTAGAGATCTAAATGCTCTTATATTAGTTTACAGAGGGAGTATTTTTTTACATTTTTTTAGCATCAGTACAGACACAAGCGCTCATATACACGCGCATACATTCACCCCTATGAGCACCTCCGAGAGAATGAGCCGGCATATCATCTTGAGATTTACGAAGTCACCGTAGGCGTCTCCTCCCACTGAAAGCGCATCGCCGGAAATCCTGAAATAAATTCAGGAATAATGCGAGCACCAGGATTTGAACCCTGGTGGATTGGGATACCACTGTCCACCTAACCAACTCAACCACAGATTGATTCGCGTATTTTTTTACAATTTGATTCCTTTGTCTTCAAAACAATTACAATTTGATTTCTAAAGGAAGTGGTGAAGGCGAATTGTTTGGGAAATTTTGCTGCACAGCGATTTTGACTTATTTAAGTAGTCCAATTATCATCAAAGATCGTATCGAGGTTCCACATAAGAACAGCACTGTCGGAGGAAAGAAGGCATTTTCATTCTAATTCCTTTTCGTAGGATAATTTAAAAAAAATCATTCATGAACATTATGAACACAAGGGTACTTTCTCCCTCAGAAAAAAAGCACAAAGATACTTTCACCGGGTGGCATTGCCCGATTAGCAATTTCCAACCACACAATCAACACAAGGACATTTTCAGTTTTGTCTTGGATACTTTCACCAGGTGGCATTGCCATGATGAGGACCCCCTTTATCGGTTCTGTCCTGGACCACGTAGGACGGCCCATGGCGGATAACAAGAAGATTCTCGGCGACTTGACATGCAAGACAAGAGGCTGGATTCATGGAGAATTTTACCTCCCTATACATAGCCAACTAGGAGCCTTGTAACGTAGGGTTCCCGGTATGCTATATAAGCGGGGGGTCTTGGCCCGTAGATAGACATCATACAATCTGTCGGTACTTTGTACTCTCGATACACTCCAACATAATAAAGCAAATAGTAGGACACAGTGTATTATCTCCTTCGTGAGAGCCCGAACCTGGGTAAAATGGTTAATCGTGTGTCCTTATTACCATCGCACCAAGTAGCCTAGTTTAAGGATACCCTATCGAGGGATCTTTCGGATTTAGCTCCGACAGTGGTAGCCCATGCAGGTCAACATCGCGATTGATGGGAGTTCGCATCAACGCTTAGATCGGTTCCAGGATGACCTTTGTACCAGGGCAGATGTTCGTCTTCGATGTCGCCACCTTCGTTGCCAACTCGACTGGTCACCCTTTGGTTCCTTGGGGAAAAGACATGAAACCTTTTTACAATCCAAACCGAATCTTAAAGGGCATCACCCGTGTCGCCTAGGGTTAGGCGACGCGGGAGCAACGGGGTTTCCTCCAGACCATTGGTCACTTTCAACCAACCTGCCACTTGAGGAGGAGGGTTAGGCAACCCACCCAAGAATGTGCCTTATCCCTCACCTATAGATAAAGATTTTCACTTTCTGCCCACCCTCCATTTCAGGAGGAGGATCAGGCGAAGAATTCCATGAGTGTAGGATCCTTCAGGTTGAAGAACGCATCCGCGAGCGAGAGCGAAAGCAGGTCAGTGTGCATGACGCAGGATGAGTCGTCGGTTTCATGCCAGGCTCTACAAAGATGTGCGACAAAGGATTTTTGGCGAGCACATTGTCGGGTATATGCGCCAACTCACCTGTCTTCTCCTCCCTGTCGGCACAACAAACAGTGGTGGCATCTCCATTGCCCGATGCCACCTCATCGACAATTTCCATCTGTTGAAACTCACCATGGCTGTCTTCAATTTTGAAATTGCAAGCCTCTCCAGCTCAAGTATCCCATTTAGAGGGTGTGAATAGACTTCAGAAAGCATAAAAGAAATGGAAAATGACCCTAGAGCATTGATTTATTTCCGAGGCCACTGATATTGTTTACCAACTATCTCTGCATAAGTGATTTACCATCCTACTGCGGCAAAAATCAGGGGTGACCAGGTGAGCATTTCCATAATTGTGGATCCAAAACAATAATGTTGTCTCCCTTAATTGAATTAGCCTATTTGTCAGTAAGGTGCACGCTTTGCTCTTAATGTGATTCAGATTTCACTCTTGACAACTACTACCTCCATTCCTATAAGACATTGGGGCAGTTACATCTTATATTTAGGAATGGAGGTAGTAGGTCTCTAGTCGTATGACACCACTGTCAGTCTTTGTTCCAATTCAGTTACTTCAATAGAAGAAATTCACAGGCTTGTTCAAGATGTGTTCAGCATCAGGCATCAGCTCTGATGCATGGAGATATATAACTGTTGTATGATCAAGAACAAAAAGGGAAATTATATTATTATTTATGGACGGTACATGAAGTATGTGTACTAGAAATTTGTACCATGGAGCCTGATTCTATCCTAGATACAGATAAAGCGACACTCAGAACATTGTTCCAAAAATATGTGATTTGTTCTGATAGTATGTCCAAGCCAGCAGAGGTGGCATATTATTATCCATAGCTTATACTGGGATCCATGTGATCTTTTTATGTGTCAAGTGAATAAGTACTACTCCCTCCGTCCCATAATATAAGAGCATTTTTTACACTAGTAGATCACTTGGAACAACCATCACGCAACTAAGATAAAGTCTCGAACAATTGATTGGAAGCGGAAGTAAAGGCAAATGCCCTATCCATACATCTCAGTGTCACAGTCATGGTCTGTGTTACAGGCAGGCCAGCCTCCAAGAAGACCCAACAAATTTGCAATATGTAGGGCGAAATATGCCTAGTTCTTTCAAGTTTCAAGCTACATCAAGAAACCTCCATCAAGAGCAAATGATTCTATGACCAAGTTTACGCTCCTTAAATGTATCGCTGCAGCAACACTAGTGACGTAAAAATGTGCAATGATATGAATCTTCTCCGAATTCTAGCTCTCGGCCACGAAGGTTAGGTAGTACCAAGCTGCAAAGGCCAGGACAAGCATGCATAAAGGGAGCACGAAGTCCAGAAATGTGTTTGGAGCAGGAGAGCCTTTGTTCCTCTGCATTGTTCTGGAATCAGGCAGCACATTACTGCCACCAACTGTTGCGTCCTTCGATGTACTGCGAGGCACATAGTCCTCGATGCTTCCAATCAGGTAGCTGCTCATCATGCTGATGGCTGATGTGCTGTGGCCCACATCTTCGAAAGCCTCGGTGGCATCCCCAGAGGCTTCAAGAATTGATCAAACATGGACAAAATAAATTTGAACAACTCATCAGTTAACTTAGTATATGCCCATTTCATATGGATCACTTTGAAAACCATGCCAGGTGTGTAAGTATCACAGTTATTGTCCATTGGTTAAACTATTATAACATGTGTTTTAAGAGGCAATAAGTTATCATGGAACTAATGCAGCTATTGAAAAAAACAAAAGGCTAGTGTGATTACTGAGGCTTGACAATTTTTTTAAGTACAACATTTGCAAGAAAAGAAAACGTGCTAATTTCCATAAGTTGGTGGACGCGGATTTTTGGGAGGGGGGGGGGGGGCATTCCCCAACTGTTTTTTCTTCTTCCTCCTGTGATTCACTAAACTTTATTCATGATGTTGGCCCATTTACTTCGCTGAGGGAAACAAAGATATAATAGTGTTGTCTGTAGGCATAATTAGTAAGAGAAATAGAGCCAGCGAAGCAATAGTGGGTATGCACAGTGTTCAGGGCTCTAGGCGCACTTTGAAAAACATACCGCATTCTTAATTTGACCTTTGCTGCATGTACAACAAGTTCAGAAACCCAATGACTGCCCGAATGGCGATTTGGTTGCAACAAGCTGTGTCAAACAGGCGAATTTGACTCTGCACAGCAGAAAAATATGGCAATTCTTTTAGGGAAATGTGAAGTTTTAAATTAGTTTTGGTTGGGGTGCGCCTGCCTGGGCTGTAGTGCAACGCCCAGGCGACACTCAAGGGACCCAATGGCAAGCCATTGCGGTTATCCCTCCCCCACAAAAAATAAATTTAATATCGTTGTGGGCACATTGCCCACATATCAGATATTAAACTGATAAGAACAGATACTACACTTGATCTTAGCCAAAAGGCCGAGAAAGGTATGATTTGCAACGTTGCCCCGCCCCTCCTTTTATATGTCCCTCGTCCACCTCCCTGCTCTCCACCAGCGAGGTGGTACTAAACGAAAGAACGGGGAGAGCCCGTGCTTCACTAGGGCAACCAGCCTATGCGCCTCCCGTTCGTTTGGGCATCATCAGGCCCGGTAAGAACACCACGGCAGCAATGCTTCCACGGCCCAGTATCACAGGGAAAATCCATTGGGGGCAGGCGAGGATGACATCATTTAAGCGGTTTTTTTAATCCCTCAAAAAAATTAAGCGGTTTTTTTACTGTCTAAAAAAATTAAGCGGTTTTTCTATTTCTAAAAAAAATCATTTAGGCGTTTTTATTTTCGCCACGGCTTCCACTGTGGTTGGGATTCCATCCTCCGCTAGCACCCAACGAGCATTTTCGAGAAATTTTTTTTTTTTGCGGGAAGCATTTTCGAGAAGTTGGTCTCCTATATTTCCAACTACTCTGGTTGACCTTTTCCAAGTCCCAACTACTGAAGCTAACCTATGTTGATGCCATTTTAACAAAAAAAATCGGGGAACAAGAAATCAGCAGTAACATGACAATGGAGCAGACGCTCAATGAATAGGAAGAAATCCAGAACTAAAGCATAAGAAGCAGACAATGGATGGATTTTGTACCAGATGCATGGAGCAGGACATCCTCTCCGCCGGGGTGGTCCTCCAAGAACTTGGTCACATCGTACACCTGAAGGGCAACAAAATCCGAGGAACAGGGGAGCGGATCAGAGAAACAGACAGATCAAGAAAGCCAGTCCAGATCTCCTAACCAACGGAGCCTAAAGACCAAGAATGAGGATTCCTCTCCTATCTTTGACAACCTTGCCATGGATGACGACCCAGCAGTCCTTTGTGGACGCGTGGAGCGAGACATCTGCAGGAGAGAAGAGCGGCTTCTCGGTCTCGGTCTCCTCCGCCATTGATAGACCAGGCGCTCTCTTCGAGACCAGCTGTTCGTGATGGGGAGCGGAGCGGGGAGAGATATCGACGGGCTGGAAGAAGACGGCGCTGGGCTGAGATAGGAGGAGGGGATCTCGGACGAAGCAGAGCTGAGCACACCAAGAGAGCTTGCCGCTCGTCTTGGTCCGCGGTTGGTCGTCAGTTGGTGGCCGGCCGCTCGGAGAGACGAAGTTGTGGGGACATGTTTTTTTTCCAAAGCTAATTGTCGCGAAAATGCAAGGCTGACGCAGAGTAAAATAGAACAAAAAAAAAATAAAAAATCTGATTTTTTTGGCAAACGTTCTGGATGCTTGCAAAGTTTCACCGTGTAATGATATTTGTGGAAGCCCTGGCCAAAAAAACAAAATCGATACCCCGAAAATGTTATTTTCAAAAGCATTTTTGAGTGCTGAGTTTTTTTGGCCATGACTTCCACAAATGCCAATTTTTACCCGTTTGTTTTGAATTATTTCCATATATTTTGGATTTATAACCATTCACCCGAGCTCATTTGAGCTCGGGAACGGAAGAGGACTTTTAGACTTATACACAGTTTTTCATGCACGGTATCTACGTCCAAATCCTCACTCTTAATCTCAACTTAACCTCTCCGCACTCCCTCAGAATTTAGTCGGGCCCTACATGATTTCGACCGCCCTTTCAGTTCCCCCCACATCATCTCGTATAACCATTCCGTAGAAAAACGCCCGTAAGAGCATCTACAACCAGACCCGTAAAATTCTCCCTTCACGTCCGGGCGGA